GTCATAGTCTTAGCACACTGAGTTGAAATATCAATCATTTTTCTTGAACAGTCTTTTTTTAATCAATTAATATGCAACAATGGGTCTAAAACAATTCAATTCAATTTGGCAAGTGCAATTTCGATTTCGACTTTTAAGAGAAAGAAAACAAGTAAAAAAACACAAAATCTTGGAGAGAAAAGATTGTAATTTTGACCAAATGTTCTTTTTTACTTTTTATGCTTTTTTATTTTTTACTTTTTTTTGCTTTTTCTCTATCTAATCTACACGAATTTACCAAAAACAACAACTAATCTAGCGATCACGACTGTAACTTAGGAAAGCTTCCTTGTACTGCTCAAACTCTGGGGAATGGAAAAGCAAGAAGCAGTTTCTTTCTCCAATACACAAAGGGATATCACATACAACACAGCAAAATGATGAGGTTTTTGCTCTATAACTTTGATCTATGCTATGCACTGACTTCATAACTGAGCAAACTTTGCAAACTTGGTGTTTCTCAAGCTTCACCGGCAAATGCCCTTTCTCTAATCTATTCTGCCACAATTCCTTTTTACTAACTGCCTTCTTCAAAGTTGCTGATCTTCGCTTTGCACTATTTACTGCATGAGCTGTTGCCTTACAGATGAAGTCCTCTACATTACTAGCTTTAGTACCTAAATCTGCAAATGATCTGACCTCTGGTTCTGCTCTAATGGCTTTCTGCTCAACAAAAGCAAGCTGAAGGGCTAAATCCTTTTTAAAATCAAGAAAAGAATAGTTCTCAGGCATTTTCTGCTCAGGGGTTGGGTTTCTAAGCTCTCTCCAAAACACATATGCATCCCAAGCACAAATATCAACAAAATGAAAGAATAATGTTTTCCAAAACTTTTTAGTCCTATATTGAACAGAATACATATGGTACATCTGATCAGATAAATCTACACCATTCATATCTTTATTATAATCTGAAATGCATTTAGGCCTCAAAACCTTAACCTTTTTATGAATTCCATCAACCTTTGTATTCCTTGTACAATAATCATAATCATTGGCAGAATGGTAGGTGGAGAGAACAGAGACAACATTCCTATCAACCAACTGTACAAGCAACACATCATTCGGCTTTTCCCCATTTCTAATATACCTTATTGTTCCTCGATCAAGTTTCTTCCCCCAAGACTGCCTATTTTTCATTACCTCAGGAAAAGAGGAGGAATTTTCCCTTACAGTACCAACAGCATTTATACCAACTGAAGTCAAATATTGGAACAATGGGACACTGCAATAAAAGTTATCAGCAAAAAGAACATACCCCCTGTTTACCAGAGGTTTTGTTAAATTAATAACAACTCTGGCAGCTAATTGGTTGATGAGATTTCCTGCATTTTCTGGATTGGGGTTTTCATTAAAAGCCTTAGCTCTACCAAGTCCTCTTTCTATCCCTTCAAAACTATTATCAAGAACACTGAAATCATCCCAATCATCCTTTCTGCTTTTACCAGTATAAACCACCATATCCCAATTGTAGCCTGTAGCAGAATCAGCTAGAACCCAAAGTTTGAAACCCCATTTAGTGGGCTTATTCATTATATATTGTTTGAAGAAGAACCTACCCTTAGACTTAACCATACGTTCATCTATAGACACACATTTACCAGGAGTAAAAAGTTCCTTACAGCGACTTCGCATATGGTCATAGAAATTCCTTATTTTTCCTAATGGATCACTTTTGTCCTCTGTCTCAGGGTTTACACAATGAAGGGCAGCAAGTATTCCACAATACCTAGAAAATGTTGGAATAAACATTGACCCAAGAAGACCAGAAAAAAGCTTATCATTCTGCCAGTAGTTACGCCTAGCAGGGGCCTTAACAATACCCATATAAAATAGACAGGCAAGAAATCTCCTAAATTCCATCAAATCTATCGGTCTCCACACATGGCAACCATGGTCCTGGGACATGTAACTTTGACCTATTCCTTGACCATACACAGCATAAATGTTTGAGTTTTCAATTATGGTTCCCATCAGATCAAAAGAAAAAAAAAGCAAGAAAAAGTCTAAGGCTCTACAAGGGGCACTGCCTCTCGCCCAAACTACTTTTGGGCCAACACTGCTTACATTATGTGGTGGAAGCCATTTCTGTTCCCTATCACCTGTGTACCCTAGAGACTCTGCCAAACTACAATCACTATCCTGATACTCCTCTTCACTAACTTCTGACTCGTCATGGATCTCATCGACTACTACAGCTCCGTCCAACTCATCGTCCAACTCAACTGGATGTCCTGAACCAGCCAGACTCTGCCTAAAACAAAGATATAGAAAATAAGCAAAGACAAGATGATTTATAATTTGGTAATTTCTGCAGCAGTGCAACAAATAGTAAAGAAATCTAAGTGAATCTGTTCAGAGCCACCATATACAAAATCAGCTGATTTGTTTATCACGGGCCTAAAATTTCTTGAAAACCACTCCCAAAAAAAACAAAAATTTTTGGCCGTACTTAGTTAGCCATTATTCTAAGATTTTCACTACAGCTTCAGAAATGGTTCTTCTTTATCGCTAATGTATCCAAAAGTTTGAAGGAAACAATATGTAAACTTACGATCCACTCTCATTCGAAGTTTCAGGATTTTCTTCTCTTTGTCGCTTCCTGCAGGGCTTCCTTCGTCTTGGTTCGTCCACTCTTTCCGTCAGAGGTGCTACAAACCGAATTTCTACCTCTCTACCACTTAATAAGGCACAGTCGATCTCAAATTCATCTTCTGAGTCAAGTCCGTTCTCATTATCCATTTTAAAATCAATTTTGAAAAACACGCCTCATTCACGACATACGCAACAAGATCAGTCAAGATGGCGGTTACAGGCCCACGTTGTCTGGGATATTTATACGAAAGAAGCGCATAAATTAATCAAATAAGTATAATTTTCTAACTGTCCAATCATATTTGAGCAATTTTAGCATAAGTTAAGGAGGGTATGTTGCCTTGGAGCTCCAAAATAAAATATTTTCGGCTAGGGTATCGGTCACGTGGTCTTATCCAGATGTACATCTGGATAAGGAATTAAAGGGTTAATAGGAACCAGTCGCAATGAGAGCTGTGGTGGATGCTTTGGTGTACTGCTCATACGCTTTTATCAATAGACATGATTCATCTGCAGATAAATCCTAATTGGAGGAGACTCGGCGAACTCCGATTTGAGTTCTTCGAGCCTCCTCGTAGCATCGAGGTCGCTGTGCATGCACAGCGAGCCTCGATGCGGAGAGGAGGCAATGAAGAATAGAATATCGCAATAAGCAGCTCAACGTATGTCGTTCGCATAAAGAAGAAACACTAATGAGCTAGGTGTAGATCCCTGAGGCACCCCACATAAAAGTTTGCCTGAGCTAAAGTAACAATTCTTTATACAAGCTAAAAAGGTTTGATTTTGTAAATAAAACGTAAAAAATTACACAATTTGTCATCAAAACATAGCTAAACCAATTTATCATGATATATGGTTCATCGTGTCGATTTGTATATTCATTAAGAATCAGGCCCGTGTGAATACTATCATGAACCCCTTTAAGCATTTTATCACTTTGAATGGAGATATATGTGAATGGAGATAATAGTTTCTTTAGAAAGCAGATTGATCTTTATACAGTATCTAGTGTTTATCTAGGTTATTTTGAACCTTGTTGTGCATTTCCGTTTCGATCGTTTCAGATATCAATTGTAATCGTGGGTAAACGGTCAACTTTTTTAACTTTTTTGAAGAGCAGCTTGAGCTTAGCATTTTTACAAGCTTCAGGGAAAAGAGAAGTAGAAATGGAAAAGGTTACAGTTTTGAAACATGACCATTACTAAAAATTGACGCGCTATTTTTGAGAGATTTCTCTGAAATGTTATCAAGACTCTGTAAATAGCGAGGAAAGTCATTAGTTTTTAGTTAGTCAGATGCTAAGTATAAAAAGAATTTTTAAAGTTTCTTTGCCGGATTTTTAATCAAAAATATTTGGCTTTCTTTGATCGATTTTAAATTTTACCCGCATGCTTTGTAACCAATGCTTCTTTTCCTTTATTCAAATGTGTGAATGCTTTGTCTCTAGCTCTTATTCTGTCTCATTCTTTGTCATCAACTTATTTCTTGTTGTCCTTTTTTATTCCAATTTCTTTCAGGAGATTCATCTCCTCGATTAATTCAGTTATTTTGTCAATAAAATAGTAATATGCTGAGTTTATGGCATTGAATTCTGAATAAATTGGAAATTTTAAATACTCAAATTATCTAAAAAGTGGTGCTTTGAATAGCTTTTGTTGAATGGATTTTTATGAATGTCTGTCAGTTAGTTTTCATTCTGTAGATTTCCTTAGTGCATTTAAGATTTTTTCTTTATCAATTGAAACAAAAAAATTATAGCTAGAAAAGTACAAACTACTATTTCATTACACTGTTACGATCATGGCGAGACAGGAAACGAAGTGACTGAAACTATGAGTGCCACTCTATCTAAAACTTTTCATCCTGGTTTATTCAAATTCATCACACACAAAAAAGAACCTTGGTGATCTTGACGCAATTTGCAATGCAGGGAAGCAATGCAGGAAACAATGCTCATTGATCTCGTTGCTAGTACCATATACACTGGACTTAGACAAGGGAGGTTTTATTCTAAATATATGCCCATCCCTTGCACTGAATTCAACCCTCGCACTCGATCTATGATCTATGATATATGATTTATGATTCAGTCTATTTTGATAGCAAAAATGCGTTATTTAAAAATAATTTCTTGTTTCTTTACTAAGAAGTACGGTGGCCCACAGGTGCCACGGCAAAACTTATTTTCTCACGGCAAAACTTTCTTTTTTCACGGCAAAACATTCTTTTTTCACGGCAAAACTTTCTTTCTCACGGCAAAACTTTCTTT